ATAAAAGATCAGGATGATTACAAATGAAAAATATTCTCATTATCAGTGATAAGGGTTAATGAAGGGACAGACTGGTTATGATTCATTTGCTAAACTAGACAATAAAAATTATTCCTACTTAAAATGAAATTGTGATTTTATGTTGGATTGTTGTTGTTGTTGTTACTTGTCAAGTCAACTCCAAGTCATGACAACCTTATATATAACAATAAAACATTGCCCAGTCCTGCATCATCCACCAACATGCTATCAGCATGCTCTGTTGTTATCCATAGAACTAATTATCCATTAGCTAATATTCAGAAGTAGATTGCCAGGCCTTTCTTCCTAGTCTAAATGCTTCCTGCCTTGGTCTAGACACTCCACTGAAACCTGTCCACCATGGGTGATGCTGCTGGATTTGAAATATTGGTACATAACTTCCACCATTATAGCAGCATGCAAGCCAACACCTTACAGCAAACTGACAATCAGGTAGTGGATTAACCCATTTCCATCGAGTCAATTCCGACTCATAGGGACCCCCACTGGGTTTCTAAGGCCGTAATCTTTACAGAAGTAGATTGCCCCGTCTTCCTTCTATGGAGTGGCTGGTGGGTTTGAATGACCAACCTTCTGGTTAGCAGTCAAGTCCCTTAGGCATGTGCTACCAGAGATCCTTGGTAGTGGAGTAGATGTGTAATATTCTGAGAACTCACAGAACATTATAAAATGAAGCTGACCTGTAAATATATTCATTATAAGAACATGCCGACCACATTTTCTAACTTAAACCATCTTCTACCTTCAATCCTGCTTAAGAAATCTGTCTTTCTTAACTTCCTGAGAAAAGATTGTGTTTTATTTAACTCACCTTTCCTGGAAGCTAAGCTAAGGAAAGGGAAGAAGAAATAGTTGTAATCCAGTTGACAGCCTTGGGCTACAGACATCCCGTCTCCCTTCCTTCTGGCTTTTATTGGACATTGGGCTGTCAATCTAATAAGACAACAAAGAAAAGTAAACAAATAGAAAGCAAAATAAACAGTCATCTTGATTCCACCGGAAATAACTCATAAAATAAAAAATGCAGTCTTGGCTATACAGTAAAAGCATTTTCTTTGTCTATTTTCATAGCTGTATTTTATTCCATTCCAAAGTAATCTGTACCTTTTAGAGATTGTTATTGTTCACCAATCTTACTTGCCCTAAAAAGCTTTTGCAAAACAGCTCTCCAGTGAATTGTGCTACATATATGCCATGTGAGAGCATCATGTCACCAAATCTATAGGTTCTAATCAATAAGCAGGAGCCCTTGTGGCCCAACAGTTAAGCATTTAGCTGCTAACCAAAAGGTTGGTGGTTCAAATCCACCCAGTGGTTCTGCAGGAAAAAAAAAAACCTGTGATCTGCTCCCATAAAGATCATAGTCAGTTCAACTCTGTCACATGGTCACTATGAGTGAAAATCGACTTAATGGCACTCGCAACAGTCTACAGGCAATTCCGATGAGGAACCAGGCTGTATGATTCCTAGGAGTTGTGTCTTCACAGATGGCCCTATTTTTCCTGAGACAATACAGCCAGTCCCATATTATGAATGTCTGACTTATGAACAATTCATAATTGCCTTTCAATGTTCTGTAAATTTGCCCTCACTTTGAAACAATTGAATCAACCCCTACTTGCAATAAATTCCTCCTCACAATGACTTCACTTGCTGCAAATGCTGCTTTTAAATCATCTAAAAAGCTTTGGGCCTTTTCTTGCACCAGCCAAAAAATAAAAACCAAACTCACAGCCATCAAGTCAATTCCGACTCATAGTGACCCCCACTGGGTTTCCACGGCTGTAACTCTTTCCAGAGACAGACTGCCCCTTCTTTCTGCCACAGAGTGGCTGGTGGGGTCAAACTACCAACTTTTTGGTTAGCAGCCAAATGCCTTAACCACTATAGTACCAGAGCTCCTTTTTCTGGTACAAATTATTTTTTAAAAAAATATATTTTGTTGAAATATAATTTATATACAGTGAAATACACAAAACTAAAGTGACATGGGTCAATACATTTTTTTTGGTTAGCAGCCAAATGCCTTAACCACTATAGTACCAGAGCTCCTTTTTCTGGTACAAATTATTTTTTTAAAAAATATATTTTGTTGAAATATAATTTATATACAGTGAAATACACAAAACTAAAGTGACATGGGTCAATACATTTTTTTTAAACAGTGTTCCCTCGCCTCCCCTCCCACTTCTGGTAACCAACAAAGAAAGTTTCCTTCCATATATAAACCTTTCCTTGACTTTCTACAATAATGAACTAATACTATATTTGTCCTTCTTACCAACAAATTCTTAACGCCACACTTAATAAAAAGTCTTGTTTGTACCCCAGAGACTGCCTGTACACTAAATATAATTTTTAGAGGTGCATCTTGGCTGATTTTGGTCGCTTGTAACTTGCTTTGGCTTTATTTGGTCATGGTCTACAAGTTAAGTTCCTTGTCCTGTGAACCCAGGTGCACCTGTCTCCAATCCTTGGTCTGATTGACAGCCCTTTTCTGGCACTATGTAATGAAAGCTATAAAAAGAGACTATTTCCTTTCCATTACAACAGCAATGAAAATGTCGAGAATGAAATCAGAAAAATGCCATATTATGTCACAGTTCTTTCTAAATAATAAGTCTAAAAGCAATTAGCATCAGACCATCATATCAGGTCAAAGAGCATAGAGTTTCTAAAACCAAACCTTTAGGCTTAAAGCTCTGGTGGTATAGTGCCTAAGGCATTTGACTGCTAACAAGAAGGCTGGCAGTTCAAACCCACCAACCACTCCTCAGAAGGAAGACTGAGCGATCTACTTCTGTAGAGATACTGCCTCGGAAACTAAAGGAGGGGTTGCTATGAGTCGAATCAACTTGACAGCAGTGAGTGAGTTAGCTATTATAATTTTAAAAAAATTAAAGTAAGAAATAATGCAAGCAAATTTATTAATGCTAACTTGTTTTTTGATTGGCATGAATGGTCAGTTACACTGATTTCCTATACTTCTGTATGAACCATTCTTTTCTTTTAGATTGTATATCCTAAAGATTAGGACCCAAGATATGTTTAACTCAGTTTTCACATGCTTTAGCACAGGACCATAATTGGAGAGATATAGCCATCCTTTGACATTTATCAGAAATGTTATTTATTTTTTAATACTGCCACTTGATACAAGCTCACTCTGACCATTTTTTGAGGGATGATTGGTGGAATAGCCATCATCACTATTTACTTATGGATATCTAGACTTCGTAGCTATTACTTCTAGGATTTTTTTTTTTTTTTTTTTTAATATACAAGGAGAAAAGAGATTCTAGTATAACAGGTACCAGAAGTTTTCTCAACCCCTTCTTCCATCATCCAGTTTCCCCAGTTTAGAGAACACAGGCACACCTATCTAACACATTCGAAATGTTCATGAGATTTAGTTAGACGCCAAATAAAGATTTCAGACTTTTGATTTCCAAATGGGTGGCACTCTAAGTGGCCTCACTTGTTTTTCAAAACAAGGTTCATAGAAAATCCCTAACAAAGCTGATGGCTGGTCCCTGGACACCCATACTCTATACTTCATCTTGACCCAGACTGGAGTACAGGCAGTCCCTGTGTTAGGAACATCTGACTTACGGACACAGAATGTTGTTGTTGTTATGTGCCATCGAGTTGGCCCCGACTCACAGCGACCCCTCCTTGGGTTTCCGAGGCAGCATCACTATGGAAGTAGATTGCCCCATCTTCCTTCCAAGGAGTGACTGGTGGGTTTGAATCACCAGGCTTCTGTTTAGCAGTCAAGTGCCTTAAGCACTATCTACCATACTTACCTTTTAATGTTATGTAAATTTGCCCTCACTTTGAAATGATCCAACCAACCCCTACTCTCAACAAATTCTTCATTATAATCTCCTTTACTTGCTGCATGTGCAGCTTTTAAATCATGGAAAAGGCTTTGAGCCTTTTCTTGCACTAAGCCTGCCACTATCCAGTAGATTCCGACTCAGAACGACCCATTAGGACAGAATAGAAACCCCATAGGGTCTCAAAGGCTATAAATCTTTATGGAAACAGACTGCCTCATCTTTCTCCTGCAAACCAGCTGGTGAGTTCAAATCAAAGATCTTTTGGTTAGCAGCTGAACATCTTGACCTACTGCACCACCAGAGTTCCTTTCTTGAACTAAAAATAAATAAATAAATAAATAAAACCAAACTCACTGCCGTGGAGTTGGTCCCAACTCATAGTCACCCCTTATCATATCCTGTCTGCATTCAGTATAAAAAGAAAGCAATCAAAAAGAAATCCACATGGAGAGAAAGATAACATTTTAGGCCATCCCTAAAATAGTTTCTTTGGCTCCTTGTTATTTCCTCCCACCCCCCTTATTCCTACTATTTTTTATTCTCTCCCCCCCCCCATTCCTTCATTTAAAAAATTATCATTCACACACTTCTCAAATTGTTTATAGGCAGCGGTTCTTAGAAATTCTACTTAAATATTCTACAGTTCAGAATCTGATCAATGGCAGATTCTTCAAACAATCAGCATCATATTTAAATCTCATTTTGAAAGAAAATGTAGCCTATCAACAGTCTGGCTCAGTGAATTCCAATTCTTTACTTCATCATGACAACACTGGGCAATTCTGGTTAATGACCGTTAAGATATTTCTAGAATTTATAATGTTTGTTTACTAAAATAGATAAATAAGGAGCTCTGGTAGCATAGTGTCTAAGGCAATTGACTGCTAACCAGAAGGTGGGCAGTTCAAACCCACCAGCTACTCCATGGAGGCAAGACTGGGCAATCTACTTCCATAAGGATTTACTGCTTCAGAAACCCAGAGGGGGTCACTATGAGTCAGAATCAACTCGATGACAGTGAGTTTGGTTTGGGTTTGGAAAATAGATCAATAGATTTTTAAATACTTGGTTACTTAGCTCTACCACCCCATTTTTATTTTCATTTTTATTTTTCAGATACAGAGCAGTTGCCTCCTGGAGTCGTGTTCAGGGAATTGGGATTCCCTTGGTCACAGCCATTGAAATTGTCTCCATCTGGATCCTTTCCTTTATCCTGGCCATTCCTGAAGCAATTGGCTTCGTCATGGTGCCCTTTGAATACAAGGGTGAACAACACAAAACTTGTATGCTCAATGCCACATCAAAATTCATGGAGGTACTAATCATTTACAGAACATGAATTGGGGAGGGGAGGTAATTTTCATTTATACTTTACCATCTGAAAGCTTTACCTGTAAGCAATGCCCAGTGTGGCTTACTCTGCCATTTCAGTCAAATGTTCTTCAGTTGTCTAAGGAGTAGAGGTGAAACCAGTATTTAGCTTCCTGACTAGAACACAATTGATGAACTCTTTTGTTTTTCACTCTCATATTGTTGTACAATATAGACATGATTATTTTTCTGTTGGGAGCTCTGGTAGCATAGTGCCTAAGGCTAACCAGAAGGCTGATGGTTCAAACCCACCAGCCACTCCTCGGAAGGAAGATGGGGCAATCTACTTCCGGAGTGATACTGCCTCGGAAACCCAAGGAAGGGTCGCTATGAGTCAGGTCCGACTCAACGGCCCATAACAGCAACAACATTTTTCTGTACAAACAAGTAAGAATTGTGAAACAGATTTACTAAAAAAGAGGGATTAGAATAAAAATATGCATATGATATGCTTTGTTTTCATAGTAAGGAACACAGCATCTGACAAGCAAGCTGAGACTTCTTTTTTATTGCTTGGGGAAGTGTACATTGCTCATTCCCATCCTTTAAGGTGGACTTACTAATTCAAAGGAGGACGTAGTATTTACATGTACTATTAGTACAGAACTATGTCTAATATACAAATCATATAAAATTGTTGAACATTTTTAAAAAGTGTTTTAGTTTATCAAATTTGTAGTCGTTTTTTTAATACACCTTACCACATGAATATTTTTCTGAAAATCTTAATCACATGGCTGAGTGTATTAGGAAACATATTTAAAATGCATATTTTCTTTGCAAAACAAGTTACATGTGGACTGAGGAGGAAAACCAAAAGAGTAACTATTTCCCTTAAATTAGCATAATTTAATGCTTTGATGTGAATTTCCATGCAACTCAGATTCCACATTTAATCACTTACAGATATCTCCAGGTATGTTTTCTTAACTTGGAAAATTCACAAAATTCGTGGTTTTCCAGTTAACCACTTATCCTGCTTGGAGATTCTTATTTTAAAATTAAAAGTGCTCATGAGATCTGCCAAGCTGGCAACCTTAAAACTGAGGTCTTCTCTTTATCTACTGGCTTTTTTATCTGGTCAGCCTCCACAGTGGAAAACAAAGTAGACAGTAGGAGGTTATCAGAATTTGGGAAGATAAATCAATAGTGAGAAAAGGCTCATTGTAAGTAGGAGCTTACTAACCATTGGAGCTAGCTAGAATGAAATAGGCTGATTCATAATGACTGAGTCTTCTTTATAGAAGTGCTCAAGCGAAAGATGGCTACCGTTCAGGCAGGGAGTCCCTGGAAAGTTCCAGTAAATGTTATGAGTTTGAACTGATACAGTTTTAGATTTCATTCTAAGTCTAAAGTTTTAAAATTCTCTTTCTCCTCCACCCTTGTTTTATTCTAACTTTATTTCCCCTCTCTTTTCTACTCTTTGCCCCTCAACTTTGCTCTAACCTAGACTGACGGGAGGCATCTCCATATCCTTGCTGATGACATCAGTTCAAAAGAAATGTGTGACTCCTCTCTCTACAGGCCTGTAATGCAGAGGGGGCAGGGGACTCCAGCCAGTCCTCTTGGGAGTCAGCTTCCAGACCCTCTGTAGCTACTTCTGGCCATTTACACCAGCCAGAAACACACCAGGAAGAAGATGGCACAATAGAAGGGGACTGTTCAAAAGAGTTTCTGTGTTGCACTTTAAAAAGAGGAAGAGAGCCCTTTCTGAACTTCTTTAAAAAAAAAAAAAAAGTTCAGCACTTATGTCTTTCTGTGGCATGGTACGGATAGGGAAAGATTTGTATAAGCAAATATGAATAAACCAACCCCTTTGAGAACTGACACTTAACCTGAGGACAGGAGTCTATGTATTTGGCATACCAGGCAAAGGGTTAATTCTCCCTAACAAAGCTACACAGATAAATATATAGTCTGTATGTCTCAAAATCACATTTGTATTTGGATAGGAAAAAAAAATTGTTTATTTTTCACTAACTTCCAACTGAAATATATCATGTCCTTCTATCATGAATGTAGGCAATAAACCACCATAGTACTTATCATCACTCATGACATTTTTACTCATAGAAATCACAGACATGTTCCTATCACATGACAATTGTGGCAGAATCTCAATATCATTTATTCTCATCACTACTTTAATATTCTGGTAGTGATTAGAGCCTCCAGTAGATTTGTTATTTAATTTGTCAATAAAGAAATACATATATTATTAGATCAGAATTTTAGTTTTGGTATTTTGATCACTATTTTTTCAATGTAATTGGTTCCCTTTGTAATCATATGTATTTTATTTTTTACATGTAAAGCACTATTTTCAGCAGGGATTATAGTCTTCATCAGACTTCCAAAGGGGTTTTGTATAAAAATAGTTAAGAAGTCCTGCTTAGAACTTTTTTTCCTCAGGAACCATTTATAGGTTATTTTAATAGACATGTTATAAATGTAGCTCAGTGGGCCTCTTTCTATATTCAGAAACTGGACAGTTTTTCACGGCACAGCATAACTTTTTACTGTGGGAACTGGGTTATTATAGTAGGCTGCTTTATCCTTCGTAAATAAACAATCTGGAGAAACATTATTAGCAAAAGAAAAGCATTTCTTTCCCAAGTCAGTGATTAGTTTAGTAGAAGAAAGAGTTTAGATATTATTTTCCAATATTCATTTTATAGACTTTTAAGTGTTCTCTGTCTAAAAATAAATAAATTAATTAATTAAATAAAATGAAAAATCCTGGTGTTCACAAATCCTGCCCACAGGGAGATAATGCTAAATATGCCTTCAGATAAGAGATTCTGCCTCAATGGTTTCCAGGTGGTATTAAGAGCAGGAGAAAGACTACAGTTATTGATGGCTGGAACTGGCTGGTTACGAGGTCACATAGCAGGCATACCAGGCAAAGGGTTAACTCCCCCTAACCAAAGCTACACAGATAAGCCATTCATAACCTTCACTGTTTCTAAACAAGATGTTCACATAAAGTACACTTTAACCACAAAAGTCAAATGTAGACCAGACAGTAGCAAAAGTTTGAGACTTATCAATAAATAAAGATAAATATATAGTCTATATGCTCAAAATCACACTTTGTAAGTATTGGAAGGGAATTATTTTTATTGATTAGATCCTTTTCATTGTGGAATTGTAACCAACTTTAGTTTATAAGAAGAATCCTTGTGAGGGTTTTTCTTAAAAAAAGAATCTTCTTTACGTGTTATTCATGGACTTTCCAATTTAATTGGATTTTGAGCACTCTCCTTCCACATTGTCCCATTAATACAACCAGTGGACATGAATATACACACATATGTGCAGGTACACGGATCTTGAAGCTACCTGAGACACTGAACTAAATTTAATTTGCATGCTTATACCTCTCTTTTCCACTTTACAGTTCTACCAAGATGTAAAGGACTGGTGGCTCTTCGGGTTCTATTTCTGCATGCCCTTGGTGTGCACCGCAATCTTCTATACCCTCATGACTTGTGAGATGTTAAACAGAAGAAATGGCAGCTTGAGGATTGCCCTCAGTGAACATCTTAAACAGGTAAATCTAATAAGGTCATGAAAATTTGGCTGAGACTGTCCTTGAAAGAATGTCTCCAAATATTGTATTTACAGATATGCCAGCAGATTTAGCCTGGCTTTCTAAAAAAAGTGGGGGGGGGCTATCTTGTGTTTAATGTGTAACTATTGTATTAGTAATTTCTTTTGTGAAATAGGGAGCCTGCACTTTTTTTTCATTTACTTTGCCAAGAATATATTGAGAGAGAGAGAGTGTGGGTATGTATGTGTGTGTATGCATGCATGTACATGCATGCATGTGTTTGTATGTACATTGAACACCTTCAAACTGTGGTGAGGCAAAAAGAAACATATCACTTGCTGCCTTGAAGGCCATGTAGCCTTGTTATAGAAATAGAATATAATCGTGCACCAAATGGAAAAGACAATCACAAAGTGTGGCAAAAGCAGCCCATCCATAGAAAGCCAGGAGAGATATGAGCTAGAGCCATGAGGAAACTGTTCATGGGTGAGTGGGACTGAACCAGGGCTTGGAAGAGAGAAGGTAAATGTGAAGAAAAGGACAGAGGGCATTTCAGGGGGGAGGCTAGGCATCTTGTTATAACATGGAATGAGCACCATGCATTTGGGAAGTGATGAGAAAGAGATGTATTTGACCAGAGACATTAGACATTTAAGGGAAAACTCATGATAGAAAATGGGATTGGGTACATAAGTAGAGGTCAAACTTCTAGACAATCCTAAGTTCTAGAAAAAGATCCTTGGTGTGGCTGCTAACCAAAAGGTCAGCAGTTCAAACCAGAGCTGCTGAGAATTTGCATTTCCACCCAGAATATACTGAATCAGAATCTACATCCTTGTGTATGTGTGTACATAAGAATCACCTGGGATCTTAAAATGTAGATTCTGATTCAATGTACTTCGGGAAGAAAGGCAAATTCTCAGCAGGGGGTTGAACCAGAATGAACTGATTCAAAACCCTGCTTTGAATCCACAAGCCACTTTACAGGAGAAAGATGTGACAGTCTGCATCCATAAAGATTATACCCTTGCAAACCCTATGGGACAGTTCTACTCTGTCTTATAGGGTCATTATGAATCAGAATCAACTCAATGGCAGTGGGTTTGGATTTTGGTAAGGACAGCATAACTGAGCAGATAAAGCTGTGGGTTTTAGACAGTAAAACTTAGCTCTTCTGCTTGCCGGCTCTGTGATTTGGACAGATTACTTAACCTCTCTGAGCTTCTAGTTCCTCATAAAAATACATCATGGGTATTACCTAATGAATGTAAAGTACCTAAGAGAGTCCACTCATGCATGATAATCCAGCAAAGCTTACTATATATTAACTCAATAGGTAAAACTAGGCCTGCAGGTAACTTCTTGGTCTCAATAGAAAGAACACTCACCTGCATGAAAAGTTACTGTGAGCTGGTTCATGGAGCTTGTAAATCTATCCTATGTAATTACCATGTGCAATGATCAATTCATTGTCAGCAACTCTGTTCCGCTGCTGTAACTGACTTTTCACACCTTCAGCTCCTCAACCTTCTAATTTAAGCTGCATTTTGAAGAAAACTATATCAGATGATATGGGCCCAATAATATATGAATCAATGTTATGACAAGAAACAAAGAAATTAATTTGTATACACACACTTTGTAAAGTCTAAAGTGCCATACAAATGTTTGCTATTATCTTTGTTGAAATTCAGCAAGAAGATTATTTTGAGAAAGTTTTGTACAACTTTATTCAGGCATTAACAAATTCAAGCACTCCCAATATACGCGATACTTATTAACAATTACTTCTCTTTGAGCAACTAACAACAGCAACAGCCTATCTTTCCTGCAAAGGCGATAACTAGTTAGAACTTATCTTGTGAAAAACAGTATTTTAAATATTGACTTAAGCTATGAGTGGTACCTGCTGTTTCTCATTGACATAGCAATCTTTACGTTTTCAAAACTTTAGTTTATAAAAAGTATCTTTGTCAGGATTTAAAAAGAAAGAGAGAGAGAGAACGAAAGAAATTTCTTTGTGTGCTATCTTATTTGATGTCTCCATACACCCTACAAGGTAGGTAAAGACAACATAATTCTCATTATACAGTGTAGTTAACGGATTTGCTTGGCTCTTAATGGAAATGATAACCCAAGATTCAAATTCTTATGCAGCAGTCATTCCCTTTAGTCACATTCAGAGCTGTGAGAAGTTCTAACAGCAAAAGAGCAAACCTGGCTGGAACACCTTCAGCTTGGACTGTGGGGGAGTTAATCAGTACGGAGTAAAAAGCACTGCCAGTCTTTGACTAAGATTCCATGTGGTGCTTAGTCTTGCTTTTCATGTGGTTTTCTCTCATTTCTCTTCATTATAATGTCAACAACTTGATCGGTTAGAAATTGTGTTTAGATGCTGGTGACAGAATGCCCAAAATAACAGTGATTTGGCCAAACAGGGATTTTTCTCTCTTACACAGCAAAAGTTCCGATAACATTAGCTCAGTGGTCAAGGAAGTCATCAACCAGCTGTCTACTGTTTTGCTGACTTTACTTTCAGTATTGCAAGAGGGCAGCTGCTGTTTTATATCTGATTTCCAGGCAGCAAGAAGGGGAAGAATATAAGACACATTAGTGTGTGTCCACCCGATGAATGTCCCCCCAATTTAAATAACTTTTCCAAAAACCTCACTCAACAATTTGTACTTAATCTATTTGTCAGGACTATGTCACAGGGCCACTTAAATGATTAGGCTAGCCTCCACTGGTGCCGTAACCAAATTGAGGATCTGATGGTAAAGAAGACATGAGAAGCAAATATCAGACTGTCATGGTAGCTTATTAATATTGTTGTAAGCTACCATCGAGTTGGCCCCCAACTCCTGGCAACCCCAAGCACAACAGAAGAAAATACAGCCAGGTCTTGCACCATCCCCATGATCCTCCCAAGATCCATAGGGTTTTCATTAGCTGCTTTTTGGAAGTAGATCGCCAGGCCTTTCTCACTAGCCTAGAGGCTCCACTGAAACCTGTTCAGCTTCACAGCAACACCCGAGCCTCCACTGACAGATGAGCGGGGGTTGCACATGAGATGCATTGTCTGGGAATCAAACCTGGGTCGCCTGCATGGATGTCAAGAACTCTACCACTAAAATAATACCCTTCAAAGAGATTATCCTCTTTGAGGATGTGGTCAGAGGAAATAACTTCTCCCACTACTACCCTCCTTGCTATGTTTATGGAAATGCTGTCTTTCCATGTAAACATGCTAACCCTTTAAAAAGCCCCTCATTCCTGCAAACAAAAACCCTTTACTTCTTCCCTCTGTCATCTGTTTATATGTTCTCTGGAGCCGTATCCCAATTAGATATGAAGAATTTCCAGTTCTTTGTGTGAGAGCAGCAACTTGTGACAACTGCCCTAGAATCTTCTTAAATAGTTCTGTGAGTTGGAATTGGTTTGATGGCAGTGGGCTTTTGGAATCAAGTGGGTTTATTGCAGTCTTCTCACACTGTTTTGGTTACCTGGTGCTGTTCTGACAGGAATATACCACAAATGGGTGGCTTGAACAAACAGGAGTTTAATCTTACAGTTTTTGGAGGCTAGAAGTCTGAGTTCAAAGTGCCAGGCTCTAGGGGCTGGGTGAAAGCCCCTCAACCTTGGGCTTCAGCTCTGCCTCCTGTTCCTAGCCCACTGAAGCTGGAGGCTTTTCTTCACTCAGGCAGCTCCTAGCTGCTGAGGCTGACAAACCCAAGGTCAACAAGTGAAAAGGCACAGTGCTGATATTACCAAACAACATGGCAAGCTACTAATTCAAGGCCAGAAAAAGTCCCAAGATCAGCAGGGCATGGCAGGCTGCTGAACAATGACTCAGCTGCATGCATGGTTCAAGCGTGCCAAAGAGCTCGAGACCTTCCTCAAAGTTGCTTCTTATATATCGGAAGCAGACCACATCCCTAAAGAAGCTACTCAGCTGCTCCAGTAGATTCTACCATGGAATTGATTGCCAATCTCACCATGGTGAATAATGTAGTTATTCCAATTGCCCAGCCATTCAACCAGGCCCAGCCAAGTTGACACACAACCTTAACTGCCACACACACTTAATGCTATATGGTTCAGGCTGAACCAGCATTACCCTTCCAAATCCTGTTTTCAGTCAGTTCTATTTTTACATCAACTGATCCCAGATATAGACACATTGCATTTTGTATTTCTAGTTAGACTTCTAAATGCATGCATTATAATACCCAAGCACAATGCACAAATGAATGGTTACAGATAATACCTAACCTAGGATTTTTCTGATCCTGCACTGGCATGAAAGGAGCTCTGGTGGTATAGTAGATAAGGCATTTGGCTGCTAACCAGGTCAACAGTGAAAGCCTACCAGCCACTCCACAGAAGGAAGAAGGGGCAATCTACTTCTGTAAAGAGTTACAGCCTCAGAAACCCAATATTGGTCACTGTAAGTCGGAATCTACTCAAATGCAGTGAGGTTGGTTTGGGGTTTTTTGTTTTGTTTTGTTTTGTTTTGTTTTGTTTTGTTTTGTTTTGTTTTACACCAACGTGAAAGCATATAAGCTCTCAACTGAAGTCAGTCTGGGATCCGTAGTGTTTCATATCATCACTGCTGATAATCTCTTATTTTTATCCCTCTGTTTCCAAGCAATGTATGTTTGTACCCTAAGTATCATCATCATCTGAGAATTTGAAAAGTGAAAGGATCCCAATGTTCTCTTTTCCCAAAATCAGGAAGCAGAGAAAACATGTTGCTGTTGCTTTTTCTTTTATGTTCCCTATTCTTGCCACCATTGTCAGTTTGTCATACTGTGGTGGCTTGTGTGTTGCTGTGAGGTTGGAGGCTATGCTACTGGACTTTCAAATACCAGGAGGGTCACTCAGGGTGAACAGGTTTCAGTGGAGCTTCCAAACTAAGACAGACTAGGAAGAAGGATAGAGGATTCACTTCTCGATGATTGGCCAGTGAAAACCTTACCATGGTATTTTCAATAGCCTCATATGCATGTGAAAGCTAGACAATGAATAAGGAAGACTGAAGAAGAGCTGGTGCTTTTGAGTTGTGGCATTGGAGAAGAATATTGAAAATACCATGGACTGCCAGAAGAACGAACAAATCTCTCCTCAAAGAAGTGCAGCCAGAATGCTCCTGGGAAGAGAGAATGGCCAGGCTTCATCTCACCTACTTTCCTCATGTTGTCAGAAGGGACCATTCCCTAGAGAAGGATATCATGCTTAGTAAAATTGGAGTGTCAGAGAAAAAGGGAAAGATCCTCAATGAGGTGGATATACACAATGGCTGCAATGATGGGTTTAGGTATAACAAGGACTGTGAGGCTGGTGCAGGACCAGGCAGTGTTTCGTTGTGTTGTTCATGGGGTCACTATGAGTCGGAGCTGACTCAATAGCACCTGACAACAAAAATAACTCCTGTTTTGCTTTCCATACACCTTTGCAGACTTGTCCATTATCAGTCTGAACGTTTGCTATGTTCTGTCACCCTGCCTCCCATGCAATCACTAATGTTGTTGTGGTTGGGTGCCATTGAGTTAATCCAGAGTCATTGCAATGTCATGTAACAGAGTTTAACAGCACCACAGGGTTTTCTTGACTGTAATCTTTACAGATCGCCAGGTCTTTCTGCCCCAGAGCCCCTCGGTGAATTCAAACCACCGCTCCTTTGGTTAGCAGCTGAGCACTTATCCATTGCACCACCAAGACTCCTTTTTCTTTTTCTTTTTCTTTTTTTCACTAAATGCTAGGTAATTACTATTGCTGAGGCTTTTCACTAATTACTTTCCCATACATTCACCCCACACATACAAGCAGTATTGGTTTACTTCCAGCCAGTTCCCACCTCTAACCCAACTAAAATGACCAACCTGAGGCCACCATCCTGCTTGGCTGCTGCCAAAAACAGTATCACAAACTCCTTGGCTAGAATGTTGGACGTAGAATCTGGAAGAAGCGGAGGCACTGTGAGGCTGCCCATTCTCCAGGCTCTTCTGTGGCTTATTCTTTGCCTGATACCTACTACATCCTTGTCATACAGTTCCTTCATCTGCATTAAATTTAATATACTTTCTTCTCTTACTTTCCTTTAGCGTCGAGAAGTGGCAAAAACCGTTTTCTGCTTGGTTGTAATTTTCGCTCTTTGCTGGTTCCCTCTTCATTTGAGCCGCATTTTGAAGAAAACTGTATATGATGAGATGGACAAGAACCGATGTGAATTACTTAGGTACAATCCTCTTTACCTATTTGGAGTTTCTGTCACTTTCACATTTGCATCAAATCAACACTCTTGTTAAACCTGAAAATGAAAATTGCAAAACTGGTTCTTTTTCTTTAGTTGACATAGCCCATAACTGGTGCAAGAATTTGTGCAAGCCGTTTCTCTAATCTTGCCATCTGACTGCTGAGACCGAGCATAAGGGTTTGAGCTAACCAAGTGGCTGATATATCTGTAACCACCTGACAGAACTTAAACTGTCATTTAAACAAACATCCTTGTGGGAGGCGGGGGAATCTCCCACCTCTAAGAAATGGCTTGTGGGCAAGAAATATCCTTATTCTAGAGATAAATGCTAGCTAGTAGATTAAAAAATACTATGTTCTAAATATCTGCTCCATTTTCTTTCGTTCTAGTTTCTTGCTGCTCATGGATTACATCGGTATTAACTTGGCAACCATGAATTCATGTATAAACCCAATAGCGCTATATTTTGTGAGCAAGAAATTTAAGAATTGTTTTCAGGTAAGACTGTTATGGAACTGTCTTTTTTTTTTTTTTTTTTAAGGACAAGCAAATGAGTATAATAAGTAGTGAATAAAACCAAAGCCCATTGCCATTGAGTCAATTCTGACTCATAGCAACCCCCATTAGGTTTCCAAAGCTATAAATCTTTATAGAAGTAGATTGCCTCATCTTCCTCCTGCAGAGCAGCTGGTGGGTTTGAACTGCTGACCTTCTGGTTAGCAGTCAAATGTTTTAATCACTATGTCATTAGAGCTCCTTAAGTAATGAACAAGCCTGCTAATTCCAATGGTAGGCATTATTTTCATCAGCTTCCTTTTCTGTGAAAGTCATTAGGTTTAGGTCACACCCTTCCTTAATAATGTCACATTAACATAGCACTCTGTTCCCAAAGAGGATTACCAAATTTTTTTCATATAACATTCCCACGTAAATAACACACACACAGTAACACATACAGTGAGCATAGGAAACTAACTCACAAGGGGGTATCACAGTCCAATCCATTACTGTGCACCATATGAGTTAGTTATTATTACTAGTAATATGCTAAATTAAAAAAAAAAAAGTAAGTCCCTTATGAAATTTACAATCTAAAACCAAAACAAACTCACTGCCATCAAGTCGATTCGACTCATAGTGACCCCTCCTTGGGTTTCTGAGGCAGTATCTCCATGGAGAGGAGTTCTGGTAGCATAGTGCCTAAGGCACTTGACTGCTAACCAGAAGGCTGGTGGTTCAAACCCACAAGCCACTCCTTGGAAGGAAGGTTGGGCAATCTACTTCCATAGTGATACCGCCTCAGAAACCCAAGGAGGGGTTGCTATGAGTCAGGTGTGACTCGAAGGCACATAACAACAACAACCTCTATGGAAACAGATTGTGCAATCTTCCTTCCAAGGAGTGGCTGGTGGGTTTGAACTGCCAGCTTTCTGGTTAGCAATCAAAAGCCTTAGACACTACACCACCAGAGCTCCCTGAAATCTAAAAAAGACATGTTAACCAAAGAACATATAAGTAGACACAACTAGGTATTGAAGTTTTAGGGGTGACATTTTTTAAGTCTATCTGACAATGTCTGTAAGTCACAAATGCTCTGCCTCAAGAAGAATTGACTAACACAGGCATCATACTGATGCATTATAGAAACTGGAATTGATCTGGTTTGCTAATTAATTTATATATGCCATTATAGAGGGAAAGGGAAAATCAAAGTACATACCCCAAGATAGTAAACATTTTTTTATTGTGGTAAAAATATGTATAACATAAAATTAGCCATTTTGTCCATTTTTCAGTATATGATTCAGTGGCATTATGTATATTCACACATCGTGTGACCATCATCACTATTGTCAAAACTTGTTTTCATCATTCCAGACAGAAACTCTATGCCATTAAGCATTTACTCACTCCCCGTTTCTCCCCTCTCCTTGGTAACCACTTGCTATCTCTATGCATTGGCCTGTTCTAGATATTTCGTATGAGGATCACACCATATTTGCCCTTTTGTGTCCGGCTTATTTCACTTAGCATGTTTTCAAGGTTTGTCCATGTCATAATATGAATCAGAATTTCATTTCTCTTTATAGATAAATAATATTCCATTGTACATATATACCACATTATGTTTATCTAGTCACCTGTTGATAGACATTTGTGTTGTTCTACTTTTCGGTTGTTGTTAAACATATTTTATAACCTTTGTAAAAAAGGCAGCAATTCATAGAAAAGAGTGTAATCCAGAGAGTCCTGGACTCTAATTCCAGCTCTACCTCTTGTTATCCTTTCTGGGTCTCACTGTCCATCTTTAAAATGAGAGAAACACCAAATGGGGTTGCTATAAGTGGCAGGTGAGGTGCTGCACAGATAATGCACACTGAAGAAATGGGAGCCCTCCCAGCACCTCCCCAACCCACACCCAGCCCAAATCAGTAGAGCACTCTGGCCAGCACTGCCTTCCTTTCTTCTTTTGCTTGGCAGATAGAATTAAAACAAGAGATAAGGAAAATACCAGAAAGGACAGTTTAACTGGTGTCTAAAGATTACAAACTCCATAGTCTAGATTATTGTTAAGCTTCAAATTCTTTCTTCACATGTGTAGGAACATTTACCCTTGTAGGTAAGGATGCAAGGCCCCTGTCTTCTTCTGGACATGTGTTGGTAGGTTCATATTATTAAGAGTCTGTTCCTTTCCCCAGTCTTGCCTTTGCTGTTGCTGTTACCAGTCCAAAAGTCTGATGACCTCGGTCCCAATGAATGGAACAAGCATCCAGTGGAAGAACCATGAACAAAACAACCACAACACAGAAAGGAGCAGCCATAAGGATAGTATAAACTGAGCCTCTTAAGAAATGTTCATCAATATTCCTTCAAATCTTATTGGAGAAAAATCACACTGCCACTGTGTCTCCAGAAATCTCTTCTCCTACTTTTCTTCTCCCTTGACTCAGTCCTACCCACTGAGCGGGAAAAAAAATGCTTGGAAAACATCAGAGGTTGTACTGGTGAAACCCAAAAATTCTATGCACCTTACTTCTTTCATCTAATTTACATATTCTGCATGTTATATTCAACACTAAAAAAATGGTATGAGTTGGGGAGAAAAGAAACTATTAAGTGAAACCAGAAAGATATTTACTATTTTGCATCAACATAGAATTTTCAGCTACAAGACCAGCTTTCATGGCAGTTCTACCAAATGTTCAATGAGACTTGATCACAATGAAATTTAGAGATTATGGAAAAATGTTCTATTTTTAAAGGTGATTCTTTTTTTGGCCAATCACATTATGGGTGTAAGCCACCATTATTTGAAATGCCATTCACTGCCAGTTGTTTTGTTTTTTTGTTTTTTTTTTAACTTCATGGTATCATAAATGTAATTATTTGAGTTTATTTATACATATTTTGCAAAAAAGAAAACAAAGAAGCATAACAGTATTACAGTATGTAGATGAGCAATTAGGTTAATATTTCTCAATTTGCTGTTTTACTTTTAAACATAAATTCTAAAAGCTGCAACAAATGCAGGCCCTTAAAGCACAGAGTGATAACCACATATGGTAGTGTAATAGCTGCTGCTCAAAGACTTTTTAAGAACCTATATATTTTTAATGGTCTTTTGTTATAAGACATCTTGAACATATTTATTAAACTCAAAAAAAATTGCTTAACTCAAATAGTTCTGGTTTTCCAAAGCTCAAATTTTTTTTTCATGTTTGTAAGCCTTTTTATGTAAACTCAATAGCATGTAAGAATTTAAAGGCACATGATGTTTAACCATACCTAAGACTTTTAATGCAATGCATAGAATCTAAAGCACTCCTAGGAGAAAAGGGTTGAATGTTTTGAGAAGAATTGGAAGTTTTACTGATTTTCTTTTTTTTTTTTTTTTGGTAATAGTAACTCTTCTGTATACATTATATGTATCACTTCATATTCTCTAAAACTCTTAGAATGTTAACTGGCAGTAAGGTTTTTTTCGGTCATTTTCTTTTCCATGTAGAAAACCTAACTTCAAAATGGCCAGCAGAGTTGTTCACATCCCCAAAAGATCCACTGCCATCGAGTGGATTCCCACTCATAGCAACCCTAAAGGATGCATAGAACTGTTCCATCGGGTTTCCAAGACTGCAATCTATATGGAAACAGAACGCCACACCTTTTTCCCACAGTTTATCCTGCCAGGAATATATAATTACCCCCAAATGCCACCTTGACCTTATAATTCTTCACATCTCTGGTTTTCCAGTATGAACCTAAATCCTCCCACTGTCCTCACACGGTCACCATTTCAAAAGGCCCTCAGTGACTTTTGCTAGGCATTTTCCCAAATGTTTACAGAGTGTGGATACAGTAGACAACCTTTTACTGTATATAGATATAAATATATATATATATATTTGTAAATTTCTCTTAGTTTTTCTGTGATTGTTTCTATTGCATGTATTTGTGTGTGTAATATATGCATGTGTGTGGTGGTATGTATGGACTTAATGTAATATATTAATAATACTGTTGTGTAGTTGTGCCAAAACACATACTCTGAGTGGGATCTAGGCAATTTTTTATCAGGACAACCACCCTCAGTTACTTTTAACCTATCAGCAGTATCTGAGTTTATAAATCCTGTGGCCATGTTGCCATTATAAATGAAATACAGCAGGCAGCCTGAAAGAGGATAAGACCTGGGTTAACAACAGGGTTTTCTTCGTTTGATCATTTGGTTGTTTTGATAAAACAGTGTTTGGTGTTGTGTATTGCTTCCTGTGCAAAAGTCATGACACTTTAAAGTATTATATTATTTTGATCTTCAACTCACTGTGGTGATGATATTGACAAATGACCTGCTGTTTCTGTCAGATTTCACCAGACAGATTGCTGATGATGAATTAGCTAAACTAATCTGCTGGGCCGGAGTTTAGCAAAGTCCTATGTGGTATGTTATCAGATGCTGGCTGCTCAAATTATGGTGCTAGAAACCACTGCCCCTTAATATATTAGTCAAATTCCATTACTTCATGGGTGCATCATGTGCACTGATATATGCCTATAAGTCATGGGCTCACACCATTTTGTTTAGACAATTGTCTTCTTTGTTAAAATGCTTTGTTTCTTACATATGAAATATATATATATATATTTTTTATATATAATTTCAGAAAGCCATATATTTCTGAATAATTACACAGGTTTCTAATGCATGTTGTTTATGGACTGGTTAGTGACCATGGTTTACTAGTAGGATCATGTCCAATTTCTACCTTGATCACATCTTATTAGTAAACCTGTAGAAAAGAGACAGAAGTCAAGGCCCTGCATCAGCAGTGGCCCATAAGTGTGAAATAAAAAGTTACAGAAGATTTGCAAGTCTCTTCATTCTTACTTTGTTCTTCAGAGAAAATGTTTGTTGTGTAACACCTGTTGCAAACCTCTCCCTAGTGATAACCAGGCAAGCAATTTTACTTTCAAACAGATACTACATAACTAAGCTGAATTCTCAATCAGATCTACTTTGTTCTACTGAACACTTAACTTTTTAATTCATGTCTTCATTCACATTTCCAGTGAATCTTATTGAGCACCTGATATAACCAGGCATTCTTCTAAGTACTGGGGACATAGCAAGGAGAAAAATACCTCTCATCAAACATGCTTTATAGAGGAAGAAGTTGGGCAATAAACAATTACAAACGGTCAATAAACAGGTACATACACAAGGATGGAACTGGAAGACATTATGCTGAGTGAAATAAGTCAATTACAACAGGAAAAATATTGTATGACCTCTTTTTTGGTTCTCTAGTGCTGCTATAACAGAAATACCACAAGTGGATAGCTTTATCACCAACAAAGATTTATTCTCTTACAGTTTAGGAGGCTAGAAGTCTAAGTTCAAAGTGCCTGCTGTAGGGGCTGGGTGAAGGACCCTTGACGTTGGGCTTCAGCTCTGTCTCCTGCACCTGACCCACTGGAGCTGGAGGTGTCTCTTAACTCAGGAAGCTGCTAGCTGCTGAGGCTGACAACCCCAAGGTCAACCAGTAAAATGGCATAGTCCCAAGATTATCAAGCAATACAGCAAGCCACTAATTCAACTCCATTAACAGTCCCAAGATTGGCAGACAGCATGGTAGGCTGCTGAATGAAGACTCAGCTACATACCAGATCCAAGTAGGCTAAAAAGCTAGATATCTTTCTCATAGCTTCTTATTTACTGGAAGACGACCACATACCTAAAGCAGCTACTCAGCTGCTTCAGTAGATTCCACCATGGAGTTCATTACCAGTCTCATCATGGGGAATAACTACAATCAGCTACCTCGCCACTCAAAACCACAGCCCAGCCAAGTTGACACACAACTTTGACTACCACACCTCACTTATATAAAAAGACAAGAAAAGGCAAATGTATAGAGACAAAAGTGTGTTAATGGTTACCAGGGGCAGGAGGGAGGGGAAATGGGGGGAGATTAACAATGATGGAAAGATAGTGTGGATTAAGAGTGTTAATAGTGTTGGTTAATTGGTTGCACAGCCAATTATTGTAATTGCTGTCAATAAATTGAACACCTATAAAATGTTGAATTGGCAAAAGTTGTGTGATAGGTTTACATAAACTAATGGGGGGAAAAAAAAGAGTAGCCACTGAGGCTACTTATGTACAACCAAAAACCACATGGGATTTGGTTTCTTTTTTTAGAGGTTCAGGGTCATAGTCTCATGGGACATTCCAGTTCAGTGACCTAATAACATGTTTAGTGCTTCTGTTCTGCCTCCTAGCTCAATGTGTAGTGCCAGGAATTTTAAAAGCTTTCAAGCAGTCATTCAAGGCACAACAATTGGTGTCTATTCACGTGAAGCAACAGAGGGAAAAGAAAAGTCAGGAATGGGAGAAGGATATGGAATATGTGGCTAATTGTCTCCATGAACAACTATCTCTTTTGCTATGAGACCAGAAGAACTGAATGGTGCCTGGCTTCCATTTCTGAACATTTTGATCAAAGATTCCATAGAAGAATACAGATCAAAAGGGGAGAAATGTAGAACACAGTGTAAAATTCTCATGGACTCCAGACTTTCTGGAGCTGTGGAGGGTGGATGAACCCCTGAAATGATTGCCCTGAGATAATCTTTAAACTTTAAACCAAAAGTATCCTTTGAAGTCTTCTTAAAACCAAACAACAGTTTTGCTAAACTAGTGAAAAATGTCTTCCATGAGCATTATGCTCTTTTAAGAACTATCTATATAGGATAAAATTGATAATCGTTAACTTGAAGGATTAGATAGGAACCTTGGGAGGAAGTGAGTTTATGTTAATAAGAGAGGAACAACTCAGAAAAGGAGAGTGAGAATGGTTACACAACTCGAAAAATGTAATCAGTGTCACTAAATGGTACATGATGGAGCTCTGGTGGCATAGTGCCTAAGGCACTTGACTGCTAACCAGAAGGCTGGCGGTTCAAACCCACCAGCCACTCATCAGAAGAAAAGTTGGGCAATCTACTTCCATAGTGATACTGCCTCAGAAACCCAAGGAGGTGTCGCTATGAGTCGGGTCTGACTCGATGGCACATAACAACAACAACAACAAATGGTACATGTAGAAACTGTTGAACTGGTGTATGTTCCATTGTGTATATTGTAAACAATTTAAAAAATTAATTTTTTTTAAAGTCCATACCTGGAGGAAGAGATTCAGATATATCCAACTGCTTATTTGACATCTCCAGTTGGGGTGAATAGGCACGACATATCCAAAACTAAGCCCTGGATTCCCCCTTAACCTGTCCACCATAACATTGCTCTACTCATTTAGACATCTCCACCCTTTAAGTTGTTCAGGATAATAATGTTGAACTCAATCCTGATCCTGATTTATTTCTCATACTTCACATCAAGTGTATCCCCACAGCACTATTTTCAAAATATATCCAGAATATGGCCATGTCTCTATTTCACCCTGTACTCCCTAGTCTGAGCCACCATTATCTCTTGCCAGGATTACTAGAGTAGCCTCCTATGAAGCCTGCTCACTCCAGCCTTGTAAACAGTCCTTTAATTGGGCCCTGTCTCCCTTCCCCCATAAATGATCTAAAGTTGTTTGCATGTTCAAGCTGGGCTGACCAGCATCCTCTGGAGATTTGTCTAATAAAAAGGAAGGACAAAGAAAGACCTTAACCCACTGCTGCTAGGCTGGGAGGTTTGATGCCTGGGAGCTGCTGGCCACATGGTTTGGGCATTATGAAGAAAGGCAATGTTAGAGTGTCACAAATATAAGAAAGAGCATGTGAGTCCCTGGGTCCAGTTTTCCTCAACATTTTCCCATGGCTTGA